CTGGGCACCACAATTCAAAAAGGATGTTGACAAGCTAGAATGTGTCCAGAGGAGGGTGACCAAAATGGTGAAGGCTCTGGAAACCATAAAGTCCTATGAGGAGCAACTCAGGGAGCTGGGTAGGTTTAGCCTGGAGAAGAGGAGATTAAGAGGTATTGTGATAGCCCTGTTTAAGTATTTGAAGGGGTGTCATATTGAGGATGGAACAAGCTTGTTTTCTGCTGCTCCAGAGAACAGGACACAATAGAGCAATGGGTGCAAGCTCCAGGAAAAGAGATTCTGCCTAAACATTAGGAGGTACTTCCTGACAATAAGAGCTATTTGACAGTGGAACACACTCCCTTGAAAGTGGCGGAGTCTTCTCCCTTGGAGGTCTTTAAACAGTGGCTGGATGGCTATCTGTCGGGGATGCTTTGATTGGGAGTTCCTGCATGGCAGAAGGGAGTTGGACTGGATGGCCCTTGGGGTCTCTTCCAATTCAATGATTCTATTGTTCATGTGATCATTTTGCCTATATATCACATCAAGGGCACTACTGTTTAATGTACCAATAACCAGCTACTCCTTGAGTGGAGCCTGTAGTCTTAAAAGAAAGTGGAGAAGGCAGCAGCTGCTATAACAGCTTTGCTTCATTAAATGTTTGGTGGCTTTATTTATTTATTTATAACCTGCCTTTCTCCAAGCTAGGAACTCAAGGCAGTGAACCAAACAGTACACATTGAAAACAATACAAAGCATTAAAATATAGGTACACAGCATATCTGATAGTCCTGATGAAGAATCTGTACCTAGGACAAGAGGCAATGGTTAGAACAGAAGACAGAGAAACAGAATGGTTCCCAATTGGCAAAGAAGTCAGACAAGGCTGCATCCTTTCACCCGATCTGTTCAACTTGTATGCAGAACATATTATACGAAGAGCTGGCTTGGACACTGAAGAAGGAGGAGTGAAAATATGAGGAAGGAATATCAACGATCTAAACTATGCAGACGACACCATAAGATTAGCAGAAAACATTGGAGACCTAGAGCAACTACTGAGAAAGGTCAAGGAAGAAAGTGCAAAGGCAGGCTTAATGGTGAACATAAAGAAAACAAAAATAATGACCATGGAGAATCAACACAAATTTAACCTAGACAATGAGGAAATAGAAATAGTAGAAGAATTCCTATACCTGGGATCAGACATTGATCAGAATGGAGACCACAGTCAAGAAATCAGAAGAAGACTAAAAATGGGGAGGGCCACTATGAAAGAACTAGAAAAGGTCCTAAAGAGCAAAGATATACAACTCAGCACAAAAGTCAGAATCATACAAGACATCATATTTATTATTCTTATTCTTATTATTATGGAGTATTTATTTCCCACTCTTCAGCCAAAAGGCTGTCAGAGCGGCAGAGGTGGACAGTCAAGAAAGAAAATAGGAGGAAAACCAGTGCATTTGAGATGTGGTGCTAGAGAAGAGTGCTGAGGATACCATGGACCACAAAAAGAACAAATAGTTGGGTCCTAAAGCAGATCAAGGTGGAAACCTCCCTGGAAGAAGCCAAGATGACCAAACTGGGGCTGTTGTACTTTGGACACATCATGAGAAGGCACGGATCATTGGAAAAGACAATGTTAGGAAAGGTGGAGGGAAGTAGAAAGAGAGGAAGGTCACATGCTAGATGGATGGACTCAAGGTGGTCATGGGTATGAATCTGCAGAAACTAGAAAGAGTAGTGTAGGATGGGTGTCTTGGAGATGTCTCATCCACAGGGTCGAGCACTACAACAGGAAGGTTTCACAAACCAATGCTAAAAATGGAAAGGAGAAACTAAGTACCAATGTACTATATATCTCCAAGTACTATATATCCCAATAAATGAAACCACTACTTAAACTTGATATTAAAATTATACCATAACACCAGGTGGTTGACAGTGAAAACCATCTATTATCCATACAGATTATACAACAAAATTACTCAATGCAAGTCCAGTTGTATTCCAGGTCCTTTTGAGAGGCTGGTGGAGTAAATTTCACAAATGGTAAATGAAGTTCTGTTAAATCTTTATAATAAAGTTGTTATCTCAATGATGCATTGCAAGTAAAGTAACTATCTTTCAACTAGCAAAGTGAGGTTGTTATCTCATAAATGAATTACCAATAGGAGGCAATATTTCAGGTAGCACAAGACAACTACTTCTGCAGGTTTTTATTAGCCATTTCGACATATGAGTCTTCCTCAGTTGACATCAATCATACATCTCAGTTTACAATACACTTCAGAATTCAATTTCAGGATGCAGTTTTCAACATTCCTTTACATCTTTCTAAACATATAGAAATAACAACATGAGATATAACTTATCTATTTTTAGCCAAAAGAAAGAACAAATTATTTTGCCATTTTTAATTCTGAAAGCTTACCTCTCTCCTGAAACAAGATATTTTACATTTAGCAAGATCAGTCTATTCTGTGTACTGTTTCTACAGGCCATTTTATACAAACTCGTAATAATGGTTTTCAGACGACACTCTCATGCAGTAAATTCTCTTAAAGGTGCATAACTGTTAAACTTCACATATATACTACATCTCCCAAGTACTGAAACCCTGAGATCTTGCTGAATCTCAATATCATCATTGTTCAATCATCCACAGGGTCGCCATGAGTCAAGATCGACTTGAGGGTGGTTAACAACAACAAGCACAGTGTAAAGAACAATTAAATGATTTTAAAAAGTTAAAAACAGTACACATGAAAATTAAAAATACATGAAAAACTTTATATAAACCTTACACATGCTGTT